ATGTACGATTTCACTCATCGACATTGTTAAAACATAGAAGCAAATTAATAAAACTAATAATGTTTGATAAAAAATATGAATTTGTTTAATTCTTGAAATCTTATATATTTAGAACTTAGTATAAATAACAAAATATATTAAATAATGAAAAGAAAATTAAAACAAATATCGAAATGTATTACGCTAAATAATCTATAAAAAAACAAGTTGCACAACATATAAAATATCTATTATTATAATTATTATTGACAATCAAGTTTTAAAATATAGTTTATAATTTAATAAAAATGATAACCTATCAGCAACGGGTTTAAAATCTAAACACTTCAACAAATGTCGACTAAATGAATAACAAATAGTTTACGAATCGTATTTCAATCATGCGTATAATTTTACTTTAACAATATTATAAAAAAATTTAATAATTATTGTAACGTACTTTTGTACTCATACCTATGTATATTCGGTGGATAAATATAAGGCGGTGATCTGTCTTTTATGTTGTTCTTTGTGAAACATTAAGACTAGATATCGACCATAAAATAATTACAGTATTATGTAACTATTTTCATTGTAAATCATAAAACAAATCATTATATGGATTGAAAATTATTGTTTAAAAGAGCCAACACATTAATAAACTATATTTATCTACACTTAATTTTAATGACATGTATAAATATTAAATATTAAATTATTATATAGTAATGTTTTAAATATAATTATCAAAATTCAAATAATGAATCTACTGGTTATACCCAATTAGCCCTCATATCTTCAAGACTAATAATTATCCTTAGCACATAAAGTTAAATAACTCAAAAACTATTGGTTCAAATTTTTATTTTGATACGTCAATATTTTTAGAAAAATTATCTGCTAAATAATTAACTATAGAAAAAAAAGAGGGGTCGTCATTTAAAAACAAAAGTTTATATTTCTATAGAAAATTCCTTACAAGTAGAATGAAAAAATTTTAAAAATCTGAGAATGTGGTTTTTAAGTATATTTAAAAACTCTTAAGATCAGAATTTGAATAAAATCATTATTAAATGAAAAATTTGAGTGATCATGTTTGATTAATACACAACATATCCTAACAACTTAGTTTTAAAAAAACTTCCGTGCAATAGAACAACTAAAATTTTTCACTCAATTTTGTTGTAAATAAATTTTTAAAATTTTTAATATTCGTATTTTTTTTATCATTATATATTTTGTAATATTAAATAGTCAAAAGTAAAAGTTTTTAAATTCTGATTGTGTGCATATTTCTAAAAAATAATATCATCTTTGATTTTTATTTTCAATGGGTGTGTATTTTAATGTTTTAAAATTATATCTATAATTTGTATATTAAAAAAAAAAATATTTGTGGGAAAGGTAGTGCACTGTATATTATTTATGAGGATTTTCATTATCCCTGTCCTCCGGGCGCCGACTTTTCTAAGTATAATATGGCTTTGATTATATTACGTTGACGTCACAATTCATAGCAGATAATAATATATATTATAATATTACCATCCCTGAACACATGCCATACATTGACTATCTGTTGAATAATTATCTGTGCTTATATTAGGTATATAGTATATAATATTATAATAGTATATTAAATTACAATATATATTATATTCAACAAGTGTACCGTGTACGCAATAACCGTCGACGAAAACGTGCACTTATAGTTACACGTCGATTACGCAATACGGATTTTAGTCCGGTGCGCACGTTTTCGTTTGGTGTAGTATAGTGAATGTGAGTATATCTTGGAATGATATTATAATAATATAAACCGATATAGGTATAAATAAATTAAATCATAGATACCTACGTTATTAAAGAAAAAAAATGTAAAAATCATTGAAGTAGATCTAGTACGGACGAACATTTGAATCGTAAGATCAATACATTGATCTAAATATATTTAATGTACGTATATAAAATTTATCGCAAAACGTCTAATTTTATACGAAACAAGAAAATTGATAATTCTGATTTCTCTCAATAATTTAAAAATGCATAATATTTTATTTATTAATCATATTAGTCGAATTGACAATAATTTGACCAAAATTGACGTTGATAATAAAATAATAATAGCAATTATTTTATAGATGATTAATTTAAATTATTTTATTTTCAAAGGAAGATCACTAGAACATCAATTCAATGCACTATATTATAAACTAAAACATAATAAAATAATAACCAATGGCATGCACTAAAACGCGCTTACTATGCACTGATCGTGCACTTGATGCATGTTTTGCATTAAATTGACTATTGAACAGATTAGTTTATTGTAAACACATTTTGCGCTTTATTGTTTTTAAAACGATAATTATATTTTATTATTATTTACAAACTAAATCAAACATACTTAGATAGGTATATTAAAACAATTATTTTCGCGTTCGTACACCTAGATGCTAACTCCTATCTAATCATTAGAATGTTCAAATCGGGAAATATTTTATTCTATAGTTAAACTACGGATCTAGCTTTACCAAAGAAAAAAACAAACTTGACAGAAACCCGTTTGTAGACTATATAATATTTACTTAAAATGAGAAAACTTTATTATTAGCGTGATTTTACGTACGATTTTTGAAATTTTATACATCGGATAACTTTGATCTTGAGATTATGATCATACTGAAACCAGTTTAGTTTGTCATTTATTATACATTTAAATTAATTAACCATATTAAAATATTAAAATAATAAATCCATAAAACATAATATATTTTATTTATTTACCTACTACCGAGTGAATATTATGTATGCGTTTATACTTCACTTGTGTATTTATACTTTGCTAATTATTATTTCACTAGATATTTAATATAATGCAATGTAGGTAACATACCTATATGAGTATATACTCATAGGATAGTTATTATTTATTTTATAAAGAAAATACAGAAGCAATTAAAACATTTTTCCTTAATAAAATAAACTTAAACCAAAAATTGTGAATAATATTAAATACTTTTATTAAATTTTAGTTTTAATTATAATAATTTTGTAAAAGTTGTATTTAATATTTTAATTTTAAAGTATGCTAGTAACCACAATCATTTGTTGAAGCTTTAACAGATAATAATAAAAATATGCATTTTTCTTTCATGTTTTAATCATTAATTTCCTAAATTTACATTTGATGTAGTGCTTTTAGGTAATAATATATAGTTTAACTTTTTTTTTTTTTGTTAATTTTTAATCGTTCAAATAATAAATCCAATGAAAAATAATCTAGATTTATTATTATAATAGTATAAAAAGATAATAAATATTATGCTACAAACAATGCGAACTACAAAGAAATATTTAAATAATATTCTTTGTAGTATTCAATTTAATGCTCATAATAATTTATTGAATTATTTAATTATTTAAACTATTTATATTTTTCATAATCTTTTTAATTTTTCAATCGTTAATGTATTTTTTTTTCAACTAATTAGGTTTACATATTATTATATACGATGAACTTTGACACTGACATGTAATTTATAATACTATTTACTCGTAATTTATTTAAAATACAATTCGTCTGTGGTCTGACGTTTCCAATAATTTAATGTAGATACACTGTATACTCCGATTACCAACAACTGGGATAAATCAATTAATTTATTATGGATCTAATAAAAATATCATTAAGTATAATTATTTTTGAGAATTCATGTTATAATTTATTGTTTTATTTAGATATTTCTTCGAGCATATTATGTAATAATTTGTATAAATCATTGTTTTGGTTTGTTAGATTATTGTTTTCATCACTAAAACATTATGTTGCATTTGTATACTTCACATAACGGCATTTATCAATGCCTTATCCAATCATTTAATCAAAATAATCATATTGCATTCAATCTGATAATTTCATAGAACTTATAAATAGCTATTCGTTTTATTTAAAAATGTCATGTGTGTTTTGGTTAACTTGGTATCATTATAACATTATTTTATAATATAGAAATAATTATAAAATATAAATACGTATTTTTATATTAAAATGTTTAAATAATTATATATTTTTAATATATTAAAAATATAATATAGGTAATATAATTTTCATATATTATATGATTATATATTTTACCAACTAAATTTACTACACACATGGATGACATAGCACTAGTACGGCATAATATTACATCAAATCACAATGTCACATTATAGACGGGTTACAACTTAAGCTTAATAATATGTTACAAAATCCAGCATTCCCCTCAATTTCCTTTTTGCAATAAGTTGAGACTTGTCGAGTATCTACGACTATCATTATTAAATCTTGGCTTCGAATTTGATGTTAAAAGAAAGATGTTGCACATTTATTTTATATAACGTAGATAAGACACGTTTATGGATTATGCACAAAGATACTATTTTATAACAAAAATTGAAACGAAATTTTTAAAGAACACGACAATAAAAAATATATTTACCTCTACCCGAACATTAAATGGAATTAAATATTTATTTATCTTAAATGTAAAAATATTAAAATACTTCTTAAGCTGTATAAAAATCTCAAGAGTCTTAAAATATTATGATATTTAAATATATTTATAAATTTCAAGAATCAGAATTTTAATTAATTAATAATTAAAGGAAAAAATAGAAGTCAGCGTACTGATCTTGAATTTATTTGTAGTGTGAAAGTAAATAATTTCGTTCTTGCTTGTTTTTGAAAATTTGTGAAGTACAAACTATAGAGTGAAACATTAAAATGTATAGAAAAAATTAGTGATTCGTTATACGTTTTTAATTTTTGTTTTACATGACTTAAAACCGTTCTTGATAATTTATTTTGACCTATTCATTTGAAATTTTGTAATAATAGATCATAAAATAAAAATCTAGGTTTTTTAGCAGTATTAATCTTGTCATCAAAACTTAAATATTACAGCTAAAATTAATCGTATCAAAATCAGTTTTAAGATAATATTAATTTTACGGAAAATTGTTTTTTTCGTGTACAGGATGATCCAACGATCCTTTCGATCAGATCACATAGACATCAACTGCGTTGATTCTTTTGGTCGAGGTGCCATCAACCTAGCAATCGAAGGTGAAAATTTGGAAATGCTCGAAATGCTAGTGGTAATGGGTGTAGGACCCAAGGATAGTCTATTGCATGCCATCAATGCCGAGTTCGTTGAGGCTGTGGAGCTTCTTCTTCAGTACGAGGAATTGGTGCACACGGAAGGCGAACTGTACGTGAGTGATTGTGGAATGTTTCATTGTTTCAATATAATATATTGTTATATAACAGTTGTCATTTTTAATCTGTTAAAAAATTAAAAATCGATCAACGTCAAAATTATTACTATCCGTTTAAAAACATAACTATTTATTTAAAATAATATTTCTCAATCGTTTTAAAACTATAAAAACCATATATTATTACAAAATTATTGTGAAATACCTTACATTTTATTCTGATCATTATACAGAATACTCACTATGCACAAATTGTAGGTGTTTATATACCTAATATGTGGTGGTTGAGATTTTATGTAATTAATTTATATAATTATTATAACCAAACAACTATTTATTTATTAAAGGCAAACAATAATTTAACCTTGTCTTTATTGACACGTTCGATTATGTTAATCAAATAATTACACTGCAGTTATTATTATTCACAAATAGTGTTAGTTAAATAATTTATATTTATATAAATATTAGTTATAATATGTATTTATTATTTATAAATGATGCATAAATATATTATATACTTCTATTACTGCAATTCTTCTCAAATACCATATTATATTGACATAATCAGTACATAGGATTTAGAAAAAACATTTAAAATCATAAATTCATAACATTCTAATTTGCAATAATAATATATTCAATACCTATAGACAATAAAATTTATAATTTACCTGTAAATGTAAAACCAATAGTCAAACTACATAATAAGTTATTTAATTTAAAAAACGATAAAAATTGTTCATTATTTAATACCTACTAAATAGCAGTATTATATTATTTTTGCTCTTTATCTGCCTTAAATGATTTTTATAATTATTAAAAAAAAAATAATTCTATATTACAAAGAAAGTTTTAATGGAATTACAGAAAATTACACGGCCTGCTGACTACCCATCATATCCCATATAGTGACATAATGATATACCACACTAATATCAACACCCTTTTGAAAATTCAAAACATCCGCCTCTTGAACAACTCTTTGAAATTTTCCACGCTAAGACGAGTTTGACCCACTGACCAGTTCGACCAGTTTATTATAGATTTTAAAATATTTAATTGAACTGATAGTAAGATGTAACCAATATTGCTTATGCTGATTGTATATTTAGGAATGTCTATCAATAATTTGTAGATATTTATCGATACGTGTATATCGGAACAAAGATTGTTTTAATAATCACTTACAGTTATCTAATCATAAATATTTTATTAGAGTTGGGAAAAAGTGGATTGGAACATTGCTTATTTCACTCCTGACATCACACCACTTATTTTGGCTGCACACAAGAATAATTATGAGATCATTAAAATGTTGCTGGACCGAGGAGCAACACTTCCGAAGCCACATAAAATCAAGTAAACCTATATTATCTATTACAGTCGTTCTAAGAAGACACCACGCTCGTACATTGTATTTCCTCCGTCTTAAAACATAATATAACATTGTGAATTAGGGTTTAGGTTCAGCAATTCCGATTTTGTTACTTATCAGCTTTAATATTAGAGTAAATTAAATTATTATATCAAATTTAAAGATTAGAACATAATTTGTGTTATCTTGCTGAATTTTTACAATATCCATTTTTAAAGAAAGTATGTACCTAGTTAAAGTATTAAAATTTAAAACCTCTTTAAAAAATTAAAATATCGTAAAAATCCAACGTGAAAACACAAATAATGCTCTTTGCTTTAAGTTTAAATGTTTAATAATACGAATATATGTTAATTAACTCTAATAAATAATAATATTTAGCTAACAAAACAAAATTTAAACAGTTAAATGAAAATTGTTCGTATTATCCATTTGAAAGACAGAGACAGCATGTCGGGTGTAGCTACTTTTTTAAATGTTATTTAAGTTATTTTGTTTTATTTAAATCGTGTTTTTGGAAATTCGCTTGCTAATTCAAACAAAATTGTCCGATATATTATTTTTATTATTTTTCCTTTTTCTCCAATTACCTTATTAATATAGTATTATAGTAAATACTATCAAACAATTTTTTTCTAGATTAATTCCCTTATCTTCAATTATCCGCGTCTTTAAAAGGTTTGAACTACATCCTATGCCTACCAAACGTTTACTACATATATTGTACAATTAAAATCATATCTCGGAGTATTCGGTTATTACTATGACTGTTTAAACTTATAGACCGCTATATTATACGCATACAGAGTGGATCGTCTAAAATTGACTAGTTCATAATATTATGAAAATAAGGGTACATTAGACATCAATATAACATTTACAATGGATAAAGTTCGAAGAACTTAAATTTAGTGAGCGAAAAAACTTAAATTACAGAGAAACTTCATTCAATTAGCATTCAAATGAGCTCAATAGTTATAAACGATGTGCGATTGTGAAGAAATTGTCATTAAAAAATTATGTACACATTTTTTTTTGCTTATTATTCAATCGATTTTTAATAAAATTATATAAACTATACCTTTAACTACATAACTAACAGAAAATTTTACATTATTTTTATCATTGATTCGTTCATTATTTTGTAACAGTTAAATTTAATAAAATATAAATATATGTATAGTATATATATATCCCATAACATTGCTAAAAATATGATTTTCTACAGTTTCAAATTTGGTATAGTCATTAGTCATTACATTTAATAATAGGTACATGAGTTGTTGAATAATTATAGAGTGGGCATCGTGGTTATACAATACAAAGGTCAAACTACTCTGAGTTAATAATTTTAAAATTACCTACCATCTGAATTTTTTAAATTTTAAATACCGCCTATGTACATAGGTATACGGTACGCGAGTGAGTTCAAATTGAATTGGTGTAAATAATCAATTGACACATTATTATACATAATATATAATATGGTTCCCAAAAATTAGAATAAAGTTATTTTTTAATTCGCTCGGTTATTCTATAATTATGCAGTAATTAGCACGTAAAATCATGTACAGATTTTAGTTTATAAATTGCATTTTAAATTATAATGTATTAATTATTTTGTGTGTAAATGTTTTCTAGTATGCTGATAGAAATATCATAAAATTTCTTTTATAAATATATAAAGAAATAACATATATTTTATTGGTTTTGCCCATACCGAATTTTATAGATATTTAAATATGAGTAAAATAATATTATAGTCCCGAATTAATGAACATATTAAGTTCGAAGAGCAAGTTAATTATTTATGTATTAGTAATAAGCCAAACAACTGGCTCACGCCCATTTCCATAGGTTCCTTCCTTGAAATGTATATTAATTATAAGCATCTATTACCTACAACCCGTTCGTCAAAATACGAGTTATATAATATTTATCAATTTTTTTTCTATTTTATCTAACAGCTCGTTTATAGATTTATTACGTTTAAACTGTTATTTATTATCATACATACTAAATCACCAATTTAAAGACCTATAACTTTAATATACATAATACCATATAAGCATGTTATCGTTTTTATGTACGTCACAAATAAGACTCGGAAAAAGATAATTTATTTTTTATTTTTGAACATCTTAAATAATAATTTCATGCCTAAAAATGTGTTAATATTAATCTAATTTAATTAACAATTTTTCGATATTATTTAAACTAATTTTTTTCTAACTTTATGTTATTCTTAACTAATTTTCAGTAATTTAAAGAAACATAATGACTTATTTTATTTATTATTGATGTAAAATTTGACAGTAAAAATTATTTTAAAGTCAAACTATTTTAAATACATTTCAAAACTATTCATAAAAAAAAAAATTTTAACGACAAAGAAATTTCAATAATTTTTTTCATAAAAATAAAATTATACTATTAATAATATTTGTTGTATTTTATTATTTTTAATGCAAACATACTTTAAAGTTTAAAGCATAAAATTAAGTTCATTGAACTAAATTTAAAAAAAAAAGAGTTTCATGACCTTTTTTAGGAATATTTTTTAAAGTTTATACTGTTTATAGGTTATTATTTACTGATTTTTAATTCATTAACTACCGAATCCAATATATGCTACTATAAGTATAATATTATAGAATTTATTATATTTATTATTTTTATTATATAATTATACAGCAACACGCGTTCGATATTTAAATATTTTTATGTAAATATATTTTAAGATTATAATATTATGGTAATGGAGGTAAGAAAACAAACTATGATAATAATAATAACATTTTATTCAGGTGTGTATGTCATAAGTGTATTACATCTTCAAAAAAAGAATCGTTGCGATACTCCATGTGTCGAGTGAATGAATATAGAGCACTGGCTAGTCCTTCTCTGATTGCACTTTCATCAGCTGATCCAATACAAACTGCATTCGAGCTGTCCTGGGATCTGAGAAAATTGGCTAGAATCGAAAAAGAATTCAAAAACGAATACATGGTAAACGCATTTCCTATTAAAAAATTGCAAGCGCAATGATATTTTGTTAGATTTCACAGAAAAAATCCGTATACCTAGACGGCTTTCATTATCGCCGATAGACGCTTACGTTTTCTTTTTTCAAGATTTTGAGCTGAACAATAAAATATGTACATCATATTTTTTTGTATAAACAAGATTTATAGTTGAAAAAATGCTTTGATTTTCAACTTAATATTTATTTATTTATTTATTTGTTTAAATAATGAATTTAGTTGATATTAGAGAAGAGATAAAATTAAAAATTCACAGAAGTTGTCATAATAATTATTAGCAAAAACAAAAAATAAAAAGGGGAAAATTGAAATTTTTACGCAAAATTAGTTTTTGAAACAAGATTAATTTTTTTATTTTGTTGTAATTCTAAAACAAATAACTATAGATACTTGATATTTTTGGCAAATGTATATGTTATTATTTTTAATATGTACCTACATGGGTATTTCATATTTTCAAGATTGAAAGTGATGAAAAATAAATTTTATTATAAATTTACTTATAGTAAACCTTCTAGAAAGCTTAAGTTCAAAACATCATCAGGATTAATCCAACTTATATTAATCAGGATGAATTAAAATATTATACAAAAATGTATTTATAGTTCATAAAAAAAAAAAACAATATTTATAAATAAAGTTAATTACATTGCTCTAGATATATTTACGAGCCTAACTTGTATTATAATTTTTTCCAAAGTATCGTAAGTTCACACTTAAAAGTTAGGAAGTTTTGTGATAATGTTTACACTTAATTTTAGACAAACAATAAAAATATTCACTATAATAATATTTTAATAGTTTTAAAGTATGTTTAATTATGCCGGTTTATTTATTCATATAATATTTTAGGAACTCTGTAAACAATGTGAACAGTTTGCTGTTGATCTGCTTCGGCAAATACGAAGCTCTCATGAATTAGATGTCATTTTAAAACATGATTCAGAAAATGCTCCCAGTATAGGATCCATGAAACTAAGACTCGTTGAACTTGCCATAAAATATAAGCAAAAAAATGTAAGTCAATAATTTTTTATTATAAAATATCAAAAATCGTTTGATATTTTGTGATTTTTTTATTATACTTAACAAAATATAATACATAATATATTTTTATGTATCGTAACTACTACTAACATTTTAAGACTAATAACATAATACAAATTATAATTTATCGATATTATTTTAAAGAAATAATTTATTAGCTAAAGCATTGAAAGTAAGCCAAATATATAAATTAATATAATAGAACTTTTTTTTTTTTTATTTGTCCTATAGTTTGTAGCACATCCATATATACAACAACTTTTGGCAACGGTTTGGTACGAAGGTCTTCCAGGATTTAGACGTCTACGTCTTTACACGCAAATAATTGAAATCGTCAAAGTCGTTTTCTTTTTTCCATTTTATTGTCTTATGTACTTATACGCACCCAGCACTAAAATTGGAAAAATAATGGAAAAGCCATTTATGAAATTTTTAATTCATTCATCTTCTTATCTTTCATATTTAGGTGAGTAAATATATCGTATCATATGCATATTATAATATTTAAAATTAATAACAGTAGGTTTCAATCATACGTTTAGAATTTTTAGATAAGACAACTATTACGACGTAGGTAGGTACTATAAACTCGTTATTAGTTATTACGTATTGGAATTATTTGACATTTTTTATATTTTAATAATGCTTGTAAATTTTTTCCCATAAACGATAAGTTCCTTATATCTCCAATCACAATATTTCCGGTAGTTTAGAATGTACTTTGAAATATTTTTTAAATTACAAGACTTTACCACATTATACGACTTAATAAATTGATTATTATTTTTCATTGTAGTAATATTTTAGATTTTACTTTTTAAATCTATTTTTTTAGCTTATTTCATTAACATTTGATTAAAATTTTTTTTATCATTTATTATAATACCTATCATATCTATTAATTGCGAAATTCTTAGTATTTTTTTCTGCATAGGCATTTAACATTTTTATCATCGAAACTATGAAAATGTCATAGATACTATCTTAGCTCAGTTACCAATATCGCTCTACTCATGCTCTTTTCTGAACATATAAAGCCTATGTAAATGATTAGCTATCAATTCTATGTTTTATGAATATTAAATGTTTTTTTCTTTTTTAAAAATATCTGCTACTATGTCTATGTATAACGAGTAGAAAGTTTAAACGAGTAAAATGACTACAAACAGTGAATCTGGAAAAACAGTGGACAATATCTCGTGAAGTATACACGAGTATTATAAAATATGATTATAGGTACATTTAATTTTATTTGTCTACAATTACTAACGATTTTGTAGTTGTTAAGAGGAATAAAAATATTATACAGATATTTAATTTAGGAGATATGCCGGTTAAAATGTATGTTATCTTAGAACGCCAAAGCCTAATACTAATTTTCTTAGGTATTATCATTGTACACATTGTTCCTCATTGTTTCTATATATTTCTTAAGGAAATTATAGCAGTATAACCACAAAATTGGTGACGACCTATTTATTATATTATATCGCTCAATTACGTATTTGTTTATGTTTTGTAAATATTTTGATTACCTAATAAATTCATGTTATTTAATAATTATAGTTATATTACCCATATCTATATCGTATTCCTATATCTGCTGTTTAAATGTAATGTTTTAGTAGTAGTATGTTTACGCTTTTAACTAATAGATTGATAAAAATTATTACTAACACCTTCATATATTTTTATAACAAAAATTAATAATAGGCAAAATAAAAATAAAGTCATTAATTAATATATTCATAGCGAATTTCTATTATCATATCCCATTAATGCTCATAAAATGAAAACTAAACATCCATCTATATTTAAGAAATATACAGTTCGAATCAACAAACAGTTTAATATTGTGTAAATTTGAATTTTTTAAATATTCAAATATGATTGGATGTTTTATATCATACAATGTTTATTGGCAAACTGATTCTATTCAATAGAATAATAAACACTGTGAAATTCGTTTATTTTCGAGTAGTCATAGCAAGCCGGTATACATAGATTAGTGATTTTCAACCCTATTGGATTTGCTAAACATTTTAATAATTATTATTTTTTTACGATCCATGATTCATGCTTATTGTTTTATGCTTATATATGTAAAACAAATTTTTCAAAATTAAGTTATTGTTATGTTTATTTCGTTTTTTTTTTTTTTTTTTTGTTGTACAAATAAAAGAAATACATTTTTTAAAACTATTTAAAGTATATCGTAAATTCGTAACCGAATTTTGGAACATGACTCACCAGTCACCATTTAACTAATGCGTACATATTAGAATATGGCTATATAGCTAGATTAACTAATACATAATATTTCCTATGTAAATACAAATTACAATAAGGATTAAAGAAGCACAAAATAACATAAACTAGTTATTATATACAGTGCATACTATAGTTGCCTTCTAAAATATATGAATTTTCTTACATCCTTAATGTTGATAAAAAGGTTAATATAAAATAGTTGCTTTCAATGATCAGGCGGTAGTTCATAATTCTAAAATATGTTTATTGTTCACACTATAGTTACGTATACAAACTATGGTAAATAATACAAAAATATTTTTTTTTTATCTATGAGCCATAATTATAGTTGAGATACTAGTAAATTCTAAGTCTTAAGTATAATTCTAAAACCAACTAATAAAATGAACGATTAATATTATTCAAACCATAATAAAAGTTTAAAAAATAATTATAATACAGTAAGAATAGGTATTCAAATATTTGTGTATATTTCTGTCACAATAAAAATAATAAAAATCTATATTATTTAACGTATATCCATTTAAGAAGTCGTTTTTATAGCTCAAATCGAAGAAAGATTGCGTATTCAATATTTTTTACCTGAATATAATTATTTTTGATACTATTTTAGAAAAAAAAAACGTAACACAAGTCACAACTAATAATATCTATGCACGAGGAAGACTTACAATAGTTACACACGCAGTAGCCGCGCGAAAATTCTAGAACGTCCAATGACCATATACAATGATATTCAACAAACATTGAGAGATATTTAAATTGAGATAAAACTTTACGGTATTTATTTTTTTTTTGGTGGGGGGGAGAGGAATTATTCGTACAGCAGGTAATTTACTACGATAAAATAATCTATAGTAAGTATATAAATTATTGAATGGTCTACCGATACCAATTATGAACTACATTACACCGTTGTGCTTGTAGTAAAATGTTATTAAAAATGATAATTTATTATTATTACTAATGCACATTCACAAATTATAATTTAAAAAAAAATTCATGTATTGTTATCCCAATAAAAAGAAATTTTTGGGTATATTTGTTAAAAATATACATGAATATATCTCGATTATTTGCTGTTCATGATGCTTCAACAAAATAATAATATTACAAAATAAATTTTGAAAATTGATGTAGGTATTTTTAAAAACAAGAAAAAATTTTAAACGCATAATTTTCTAAATAAATCTTTTTCCATACGTGTTAAAATAAAATGTATCATACCTAATGGCAAATTATAATGAAATATAATCAATAAGAATTATTACAAATTTAATTATAAGTATAAAATGTCTATAGTCTTACGACTTTAACCACAACATTAGTTCCTACTACCTGCAATATTTAACTATACAATTAGGTATAATTATAATTACACATTGTTTCCAAATACCAATAATAATCAGGAAAGAAAAATATGAACTCACTTTAATAAGTATGTAGTGGTGCATTATAAAATATATAGAAATAATAATAATAATAATTCGTCATTATTAAATTTCAAACCATAATATGTATCGTATTATATTAATAATTAAGTACGTAGGTACATATGTGAGGAACAAGTTTAGTATTATCAAACATAAAAAGTAAAAATGTATTTTAATTTAAAATAAAAATACACTTTTCATAAATAATATGCTCATGAACTTAACCATTGACCTCATACTCATTTGTTTTCTTTTACTATAGGTCTATTGGTACTAGTGTCGCAGAGGGCTGAAACGCAATTTATAGAACTCTTCGGATCTGAATCAATGAAAGAAAGTCTGCAACAGCGACAACTCCGGCAACGCGGGAATGGACCGTCATTTTTAGAGCTTTTGATCTTGCATTTTGTCATCGGTAAGATGAGCGGATTCATATATAAACGCGTATCACTTGTAGCATATACAGTAATTTAGGACAACATTTTTCTATCGGTCAATGATCGTTATTTTTGACGAAACATGATATAAGTTGCGGAAAGCGTGAGTTATGAAAAACTAATTCTGGGCGTAAAATCTAGAATTCATCGATTCTCTAGATTTTTCATAATAGAGGGAAAATTACATCAATTTGAAAATATAATTTTTGACTGAACTAAGAACGTATACGGAAAAAATATAAACTTCCTGAATAAAATTACAAATTGCTTTTACTTATATAATATAGATTATATCAAAAAGAATTTATGTATATAATAAATATGTATAAATATAAATTTTGATTATATAATATTTATTTTATACGTAATTATTTATACTTTTAATCTTTTTTAAAAACTAAATTTGATATTACATTGTAAGTTTCCACTCAAATGCAATATGTGTGGAAATAAACACTAATAATATTATATTTTAAACTGATTAATTAATTAATCACATAATTAAGTCAATTTTAAATGTATTTTTTTAATAAATTTAAGAAGGTAACAAAATTATTACAGGTAAAAGTTGATAGAGTCGATAAGTCTTCGTGAAATTAATATAAATAATTTTTTCGTTTGCGTTTGATATTCATTTATTTAGACCATTTCTTGAATATTTTTTCCATAAAAAATTATCATTAATCACATAAATGTGTTATTTGTAAAAATACATTTTTTTCTTTTATTTATTATTATATATTCCTGCACATCTTTCATATTTAGGATTACGAATGTTGATTTCTAAAACAGTAATATTTTTAACCAAACTCTATTGAGAACAATTTAAGTGCTCAGTAGCTTATGTTCTATAGTTTTCCTATACCTTTAAGTCCTAAAAAAGTGGCAAGAGAAATATATTATTTATATAATATAAAATATTCGCATACCACGATAACAAACACATGGTTCTCATATTACTTTTCCCACAATTAAGAAACACCGTAATATAATATAGTTGGGATATCAATTGACCTATTTTCCCAACGATATGTTCTTTTGCCGTTTTTGGAATTCCGGTTAACGACTGATGTAGGATTTCTTGTTATTGTTGAAGGATACATCTGGCAGGAGATATTGGACGTACGCAGGGATGGCCTGAAGAGATATCTGGCGCACAACGCCTGGAACTACGTGGAATTTGCCAGGAATAAGATGTACGTGTTAGTGATTGCGCTACGAGTTTACGCATACATAACCGAAAATTCTCAAATAGCTTACGACCCCTCTTCGGCATTCATTCCAAGAAATAAATGGCAAACTTTCGACCCTCAACTCGTGGCCGACGCTCTATTTGCTGCCGCCAACATACTTAGGTGAGTTTTTTTCTCAGTTTCCAGTTTTCTTCGTAAATATGTCTTAACACTTAACACAATATATTATCAAAGAATATTATAAGACTAGTTTTTCTCTATTGCGAAATCACGTTTGGATCGAATAAACTAATGTATGATTTCGCATCTATACAGTACGAGTTAATTTGAATATTAAAATATCAAAAATTAAAAACGGTTTAACAAAACCTAATTAATCTCAAAAAAATATAGTTATTGGTTAAACCGTTATTCTATTTAATCATTAATATTAAAAACTCGGTGCAACAAATATTTACACTCAAAATCGATTAATATTATATTATGTTTTGCTTACAGCGCTTTAAAGTTGATCCATATGTGTTCAATAAGTTCACATTTAGGACCGTTACAACTATCATTGAAACGCATTCTGATCGATATACTCAAGTTCTTCAGTTTTTACAGTTTGGTTTTATTTTCATTCGCATGTGGACTCAATCAGTTAATGTGGTATTTTGCTGATCAAGAACGAAAAAGATGTAACAATTCAACAGAAGCTGAATCATGCTCGAAATGGAAGAATTTTGGAAAGTGAGTCATTAAGTAAAAATAAATTTTAAGTAGCTAACTTACGTCAAATGAAAATTTATTAGAGTAGATGGTTAAGTTTTATCTTAAGAAAATATTTATTTTATAGCAAATTGTAATTCTATAATAGTTGGTTGTAGAAAATTTGTTAGAAATGAATTGATCCTCAATTTTGGAATAAAATGAAAGCAATTATTATAAATTTTTAAAATGAATTCAAAATTCAAGAACAATAATACTAATACAACCTTTTGTACATAATTTTTTTTACCTAATGCACAATACGAATAAAAAAATAATAAGACTAGGAAGTAATTATTAGCTTATTGACCTAAATATAGCAACAAGTTTGTTTAGTATAGGTTTTTTTAGATTAAATTATAATAATATAATCAATAAACATCGATAGCATAAAAAAACATATTTGTGTTAAAATTATGATATTCTTATATCAAACAATTTAAATATATAATATTAAATATTAAATAATGTATTTTTTATTGCTAAATAATTAGTACCTTATTAACTTATTGAACATTCATAAATGATATTTAATAACAACAGTTTTTGATAATATTAATTTCTATAATACTTACTGTTATAGATTTTTGTATATTTATTATTTTGAATATGGAAACAACGATACTGTTAACAGTTCTAAGTTTTAATACAATCCAAATGACCAAATGATTTTTAAACGGTTTATATGATTCTATTATTAAAATAATTTTCATGGTTAAATTGATTTTAGAGCTGTTGAATATTTTTCGATTTTAATAATATTAAAAATTTTATTTTTCTGCAGTCAGGTCAAAATTAAAGCCAGATATATTAATTATAAAGTATGTACTCATATTATACGAACACTATTAAATGGGTTATTATAAAAACAATCGTACTCATATCCGTTCTTTTTACTGAAAATACCTATTCATATTGTAATCCATAAAAATTTTACATCCAGCCGGTTACAGACCTTTTAAAACGATTAATCATTATTTTCAGATACTATTCATACCTACATACGATATGGTACCAGCTGTAGTCAACCCCAATTTCGCTTCATTAATTATTAATTATTGATTAGAACTGTTTTATTTTAAAAACGCCATTAGTTTGATATAAAATTACGTCTTTTTTTTAGAACAAGGTCGAATATGATGTTTACGTAGATATACAGTGTAACAAAGATAATATTATAATTAATGGCCTTATTAATTTCTAATTATGACTTATATTAAAAACAATAACTACGTAGTAATTATAATATTGGTAGTTAAAAAAAATATTTGGGTCTATTTTAAGTTCACTGTAATAACAGATGATATGATATGTATAATATAGTCGAGATTCCATTTTTAAAAATGTAAAAAACTAATATTTTTAAATCAAATTCTATTACGCAGCACCACAAAAATAATGCAGCTGAATACGATGAAGTTTATAGATAGTACATGCGGTAGGACTCAAATAATATTATTTTAATATAGTAAGAAAAACAAATAAGCTGTTATGTTCTTTAAACCGAAATTTGCACATCAACAGAATTGTAGATGTCATATATGGTTGACACTTGACGGTTGTTGTTAATATTTTCATAGCAGCTATTTTAAAAATAAATACACCAACAACAATATTTTTCTTTACGTTCATACTTTAAAATCCGTTAAAATTAAAATTAAAAAACTAATAGTAAAATTTATACTGATTCTAGGTATTTGATAATTTTAAACTTATTAATGAATTTAAAATGTATAAGAATAAAATTTAAAATAAATTATTTTTTTTATAATTTAGAAATACATAAATATATTTTTTAACAATAATTAAAAAAAAAAACAATAAAATACATTATGTATTAAAATAATAATATTATATATACCTATATATTTTGTTAAATACCATAATTTAACAATAATATAAATTAAATTTGAGTTGTAATTTTTGTAGTGTGTTTGAATCTATACAAACTCTGTTTTGGACGGGTTTTGGTGAAGTCAACCTTGAAACCTTTGATCTACCAGGAATGAACCCTTACACGAGATTCTGGGCACTTTTTATGTTCGCTGCTTACTCGGTAATTAACGTTACGATTATGTTGAACCTGCTCATTGCTATGATGTCTAATTCCTATTCTGTCATTGAGGTATATTTGTTTTTTTGTTATAGCTTATTAGTAATATAATCAATCATAACAGTAATTAATTATACACTTGACAAACTATAGGGTCAATCGGACGTGGAATGGAAATTTTCTAGATCAAAACTGTGGTTAAGTTTGGAAGAAACACCGACACTCCCCTCGCCTTACAACGTGTATCCAACGGCGAAACACTTCAAAAAGCTTTATCATTACATACGGAAGTCTAAAAAAACTAATCCATGGTCTCAGGTATAAATATTAAATTTCGTAACCAGAAAAAAAGATTTTCACAAAATAATACTATAATATTGAATTATTGGATCTATATTGATGAAATTTATTTAATTACCCGGAAATGGGAAATCTATTTTCTTTTACCCAGTAACGCAGCAGATGAGTCATATTTAAAGAAGACAAATTAAATATTTTTATAAATATTAACTTTGTTCTGAACTGATTAAAATGTACAATTATTGCAGTGTATTGTTTACCTACTTATTATAATAGTTGAAAACGTTTTTCTAACGAACTTTAATCAATTGATAGTAAATAATAATTATATTGATAGATACCTATGTTATAATAAAACTATTATATTATACTTCATAGAACTATGTTTATGTCAATTAAAAGTCGGCGCACTAATTATCTATGTTTTTGCAAAAAATTCATACAATAATAATTATTGTATTATTTGTTGTAGTATGCAAAACGTATTTTTAAAAAAAATAATAAAAATAATTTCATTCTGCTATTAAAATTGCATAAAGTAAATATAACTTAATCTTGTATGCTGTTTAATATATGTCTGTGCTGCATACGTGAATCATAAAATATATTTTATTATATAAGTTTGATATTGTTAGTTACATTATCTCAGATACATTATTGATCTTAAGTATTTTTTTAACTCATAAAAGTGTCTATGATTTCTGGGTATTTACCGTTTATGGTGTGTACTGATATACGAGTGTTACATTTAAATTGAAATTTTTTAATTAAGCTATTATGTATATTAATTTTTTAAATATTACTACATTATAAAATTATTATCTACTTAACTCAAGAAATATATTTTTTAAACAAAAGGTACAACCTACCTGCTTTTATTTATTTTTCTAACAAAGTACACTAGTATATATTAGTTTTAATGGAAATTAAAAACTAGCTTCTTATTTTTAAATGTTTTTCTCTCAACGTTGTCTTATCACAGAAACACTCTTAACTAAATATTCATATATTTTTAAACTTTGATATTAGTTATTTAAAGTTAATCACCCGAACAACATAGTACATGGCTATATGGTGTAATCCTTAAAAATGTAATCAACTTCCGAACATTTATAATTTTTACCATAATGAGTGATTACATAGAACCGTAACCATCAAAAATTATAACTTAACTAAACAATATACCTATTAATATGGACGAATTTTATTTTCCTCCAAATCATTATATTTCAAATGCGACGTTTACTGATTACTGAGTAGTGACTTTAATGCTAAGCCTAGTTTTGGGGGATAACGTTAAATACATCGTTTCATATAATGTTGTTGATAAAAATAATTTTTATGTAGGTATCTACTTTCATTACCAAACCCTAAAAAAGTTCTTCTTTATACATTATTTCTAGTAATTAAATTATATCTTACAAATAATGATTATATAATATATTTGATGTATTATTATATTAGTTTCATTTTATTTTATTTATTAAAACAATTTTAAATATATAGAGATTAATTCATTATTTTTAAAAAATAAACCTATTTAAAATTATAATCAAACATTTTTTCAAAGGTCAATTTTGAAGAAAAAATTCAAATCAATCGATATATTTTAATTTGCAGAATGATAAATCCAACAGTATAATTAATCTAAATCAAAGGGAGAGTGAGTTTGCCACTGTGATGCGAGCCCTTATTTGGCGATATATTTCCATGAAACATCGAGAAATGGAAAACATGGGTGTAACTGAGGAAGATATAAAAGAAATAAAGTCTGAGCTCAGCACGATGAAATACGACTTTCTAGAAGTACTCCGGAAAAACGGTATGGAAGTTCCCAGAGACCATCGTAAAAAGAGCAGTAAGTATTCTGAATAGTTATTTACTTTAAGAATTTTTATACTTAATGAAATAAATTTTCATTTTATTCGAACAATAATTAATTTCAACTATACACAATTATACTAAACAGTCGATGATAAAAAAAAAAGTTCAATATATACCTATTTATAGGTTTGATTAAAATATATGGATAATTAATTAATAACTAATGAGTAATGACGTATATTGTTAAACCTTAGTAACCTTTGTATTTTCCTAGTATATTATGCATATGGGATAAAAAATTATTCAATTTTCATGAACGGAATCAAATGTGATCTATATAGAGATCTATAAAGAGATTGAAAACGAAACAAAAAACCTTCCCTAGAGTCTTATTTTTATGTACACAATTTAATACAAACGTGCATTTATTTTTATACTCGCTTTTACAAAATTTCAGTTTATGTGATACAAAACTAGATACATGGCTAGTTGACTATTAATATAATCAATACAAATAAAAATATATAACTATACATTTTTATTTGTGTTGATTTAGTTTTAGTTTCAATCATAAGACATTTGTACATCTATTTTAGTATTTTAACTACCTACAGTGTATAAATACAAATTAAAAATATGCACTTCAAAACTGTTTAAACATTTAATTGGTTTTGGGATAAAACTTAAACCATTTAAAACATTTTGCTCGTGCCACTTAAAAGAATTATTGATATAAAATGCCATTGAAAACTACATATTTTATAATAATAAATCTTTTTTAATTTGAAATTTTAACTATATGCATAACTTATAAAATAAAAACACTATCAAAAGTAATAAACCACTCATTACCTATTACTCTAAAAAAAACATGATTTAATTTATGTTATTTACACCCATAAATAATCATTTAATCAAAGATATTAGTACTTAGTAATTTAGTTTATAATTTTATGATTAATAATTAAAACTTATCTTTATGCTATATTATAAATAATTTTAAACAATCAAAGAGCCGTTTAATTAATACATGTACATGCAAAATACAATTCTTGAAAACAAATCCAAATATTTATCTGTATTTTAATATCCATTTTATTTATACAAAAATTGTTGTCACAATAATCAGTTTTAATCACTCTGTATACGTTTATATAAATTATAATATTATTAGACAAGTAGAGAGGAAAGGTAATGAAAATTTATCATTTTTGTACTATCTTTCATAAAAAAAAAAAAAATTATATATTTTATCTCAAATAATAATAATTAATTAAAATTATATTCTTTATTTTTTTTTTTTTTTTATTTACTTCAACAGTTTAAAATCTATAAAAGTTATAAAAAAGTGTACTTATCTCTATGTAATTTAGCTTATCGTATATTTGTCTAGTACGTATATATTTTATTTAAATAACTATTTTTCTACCTACCTAATTGTTTACCCTTAAATTATATTTATGATGTTTAAATATAAATATACTCAAAAGTATCGCATATTATGTAGTTTCGATTAACTATTAAATATGTTTGTTTATTAATCAATTGATTTATATATATACACATCAAGAATATTTGTTTAAAATTCAAATTTTATACGTTTTTAAGTTGTTACCTAACAATTATAATTTGTTATTTTTTTTAACTGTATTCAAATTTGAAATTTACATTTACCAATGATGTCATTCAAAATAATACGAAATAATAATAATAATATACCTATTACATCATTTACACAAAGAATAAATTATAAATAAATTTTAAATTAAAATGATACATAAAATAAAGTGAAAAATAACATTCCTGAATTTGTTAATAATTTTAGTAGCTTTTTATGCACCCTAGCAAGTGATGATAGAGTACAGAGGTTTATGATATTTTGTTTTTGATATTAATTATTTTAAATTTAAACACGATTCATATTAGAACAGAAACATGATTCTGAATGGAGTTAAATGCTAATTCATTACAAAAATGTGTAGGCATTATGTAACCTTAACCGTGTTTAGGAAATAATTTTATCAATTTTAAATAGGATATTATTGGGAACTAAAAAGAAAATATTTATTTTCATACAATGTATACAAGGTTATTTATATATATATTTAATATTTATTTTTTATTTTTTAATCATATTATTAATGTATTTTAGCATATTACAATTTTTAATATACTGTTATGGCTTCAATAAAATAAATGAGTAGATCATATCTTTCTACCATAAGTACATACACATACACCACTCATAGATTAGTTAAAACACTTGAAATCTTGACAATCCACGATACGGCATTAATTTTTTATTAAATAAAAACATATTTTAAAAATGCATTAATATATTTTTATGGTCAACATTATTAATGAGAACTTAACTGTTTTGTTTTATTTTTTTTATACATAAACCTATCACTATAGTATCTTCGACTAGAACATAAAAAAAAATTTGAATATTATTACATAATATAATTTAAAACTACGATAAGAAAACAAAAACACGAGGAAACAGTAGATTTGGTTCCAGTGATTAACGGAAATTAATTAATGAATTTTAATTAACCACGATTTTAGCTGTTACATTTAACTATATAAGATTCAATTAAAAAAGAGTTACAACATTTAAAAATTATCATTAAAAAAAAAAAAAAAAAACGATTTGAACCTAAAGGTTACATATTATTTATGTAGATATATATTATATAGCAAGGCAAGTCGATACCGACTGTAGGTGCGACAATCGACGAGTTTAACAATTATTTCTAAATATTAGCGCAGAGTGTAAATAATAGAGCGATGAACCATAAATCTATTAACTAAAATATTTAATTAATATACATAGTTGATGAATATAACTTTAATCGACATTTTCGTGATTTATTGAATTTGTTGTTGTATCATCCATATAAATCAGAGCGCATGAGGCCTTAATTAATTGTAGGTATTATATGATGAACTTATTAAAACAATCCTCAATTCGCTGTTAAACATGTGTACATTTTTTTTTTTTTAATGATTTATAATAAATTACGTATAGCACTGAAATTATAACGTTATGTACCATTACAAGTTATTCGGTATTGGGTTAGCTTCAAAAATATGCTAATTTTAAAAATAATTTAAATACAAAATAAAACCATTTTAAAACATTTTTACTGTAATCAATAATTATATATATACCTACCTAACGTAATTGTTATGAGTGCATAAATATAAAAAACGTATTGTAGTTTTACCCACTCTTGTCACCTAAAAATATTAATAATATAATTATATTAAAAATACGCTTTATTAATTATATCAAAGTGTCGAATTAGAATTAGGTATTTAATTTTAAAAATATGAGGCATTATACTTGTATGAATAGTACTATCGTTAAATAAGTATAAAACATTTTTAATTAAAATATTAAACTGTTAACTCTAGACTTCATATCCTTAGACCACTCTTAAGATCCAAACTTTTCCTTTCCAATAAATTAAACCAGCTTGGACATAAAATATTCAGTTATAGGGCTCCGCAAAGCCCTCTAACACCAACACGCTTCAAGTTTTTCAATCTATCTGCCTACGATTAATAACATCTTCTTCTTGGTATTTCACAAACAATAATCTTCACAAAGACCTAAAAATTCCCTACACTCAATCAATAAGCAAAAGCACATTACTCTAAATTTCACTCCAACTTAAACTCTCACAGTAATCCATTAATAAAGCAACTTTATTCCACCTCACTTCCTGGCAATATACGCAGAAGACTCAAAAGACAGTAGCCTAAAGACCTACTAAAATAAAAATAAAAAATAAAAAACCACGACATCTAAAATGTTCACGGTCGGGGTGCTGCTGATCGCCTGCCCACAAACGTTAAATTCTGTTACTTTATATTACATTAATTATAAAATTTGCTCATTGTACATAATTTTATATAGATTGTAAATTACTTAAATATATAAAAAAAAAAAAAAAAAAAAATTAAAATATTTCAAGAATGGTCAATACAATTTATATAAGTATTTCGTTTTTATTATCATAATTTAAAATCGTCAAACAGGTGATCCTTCACAAACTATAATATTATTTTATATTGGATTTTACTGTAGTATGAGCTTATTGTTAAGGTAAAATATTTCAAATCTGAAATCAAAGTTTAAGCAATACCTATAAGTAATTAAATGTATCCCAATACAATAGACACATAGTAAATACGTCTAATACAATTATAAGCACGATTAAAAAATACTTAACATTTATGTTCCACACGCGCGCTTTTTAAAGAATTTGATATAGGCAATTCAAATGATTATTTTCTAGTTGTGTTATTGGTATAGCCAGTATTCGTATTTGATTGTATTAAAATATTTGAAACTATATTGGTGTACTGATATGATCTACATTACGATGTATATTTGATACATCCTAATACTGGTATCAAAGTTCAGTACCACCAATTTATGATATGCATATCGCCTATGGTATTTTTTTTGTTAGCATAGAAAAGTTGAAAGCTAGGTACATTTTATTGTCTTTATCATCGGTTCTTAAACTGTTGTCTATAATCACCCGGGAAACCGCGACACTCATTTTAGGAGTCCATGAGGGTTCTACGGTGATTTCGGCCTAGAAAAAACTTGAATATTTAGAAAAAAAAAGGTATTCGAAATAATGTTAGTAAGAGAGGGGAAGATCTGTGATTTCTAAAAGTATTTCATCAGAGGTGTCTGTGTTCTACAAAAATTTAAGAACCACTAAAAGGAAGAGGTCTATATAGTTATCAGTGATAACTTATCACTTATGCCTGGTGTAAATCGTACCCGGTTGGTTTCCAACAATCAGATATACTATATTAAAAAACGACTCATATGTTGCACAAATATATTTTTTTTTCGATATCGTATAAACATTTGATGTCATCATAAGACGTATTATTCACAAACATTCTGCAAGGTTCTTTCTAAGATTTTTTCTTGCTTGAAACACGAATTTTTATTATTATTATATAATAATTCTTCAGGTTTAAAGATGATCCAAAATTTAACTACAGATATCACTCCGGACTCCTCCATCGTCTGAAAATCATAGTTTAATTAAACATTCTGTTATAGATATTATATTATTATATTTTGTTTTCTCTCACAGTGGACAGAAAGTCTAAAATTTGGGAACGACGATTGATGTCGGACTTTTACGTGGCACCAATGTTTCCGAGCGGCAGTACTTACAATAGTAGCAGTAACATTGATAAGTCACTTAAACATCAATTGCGGCCTATCGATCGGTTTCGTAAGGCTGTTCGAATGGTGGCGGCCAACTCGATATCCAACAAATGGCGGACCACCATTTATGACGTGTATCAAAAGTGAGTATAATATGTTATAATAAGTACCCTTGACTTAAGTATATTGTATATATATATTATATTATTATCTATTTTTGGAACGTTCACGATGTTTGCCAGGATTTTATTCACATGGTTTTCTTTGTATTGATTGTAATACAATTATTCAATGCTTCTGGTTTTCAGTTTTCAGCATAAGGTTGCATAACTAGATGTATGATTTAATTACTAGATTATCTAAATTAAAATTAAATATATTATTATTCAATAATTAGTTATTGCTTATTATATTATATTTATCTAAATTACCAATATTTATTAAACGATTATTTTCCTGAATAAATATAATTGGCCGCAAAGAATGATTGCAATTCTTAAATATGATTGTTTCCGAGAGATCAAAACGTGCATTACTCATATTAGTTATATTGCATAAATTAAATGTATGACCTACTGAAAAGGAACATAACATTATTTATTAAATTTAAATAGTATATATAATATAATAAATGTTGTTTTACATTATTTGTGATCGTCAGGAATCTAAAAGACAAAAATAAAAAACTTCTCGCCAACTACCTTAAGTTATTTAGTTGATGTATTTTTCAAAATATAATAATGTTGTCACTAATACTATCATCTTTGCATAATTATATTCGTATGATATAGGTGAATGAATACATCATATTAAATGTATGACAATAGTGTGCGGTCGTTGAATTTTGCAGTTCTCCGAAAACCCTATGTAATGACTATTTTTCGCATCGTGATATTTTCATCATAAATATATATAAGAGACTGTATTGTTAATTGTTCTTGCGAAATATTTTAATAGTATCTATCTCAGTGGGTGTGCCATTACGTTCACGCATAAGTATGAGTATTATTATTAATAGGTATCTGTGATCTATTATGTGTAGGTAATGAAGTCACCCGATTTAATGTACGTTTATTAAAACAATACAATACAATAATATGTGCTTATCATAAGACCATTATAAATATTAATTTTATAATATCTGATAATTAGGGCTAGAATTTATATGCAATAAAAAATTGTAATATATGCATTTGGTTTATTAAAAATATGCAAAAATATGCAATTAATATTATACACGTCAAAAAATATAAAATAAACACTCAAAAAAAAAAAAAAAATCATGTTTTAAAATTAATAAAATAATATTCTTTACTATTATTCACATGCGTTACACAAAACAGTTGATATCTTAAATTTTCAAAACTGAACGATCTTCTGTTATGTTTTTATACCTATAGGTATTCTCGAACAATGTTAATACATATTGTCACACGATAAAAACGTCTAGTAATGAAATATACCATAAAACATGCATTTTTTGCGCTTTTATAGTCGAAATATGCAATAATATTAATTTTATTTGAAATATGCAATAATATGCATTTTTTCCAAAATATGCAAAATAGAAACACCGCTGTTTATCTTATCATGAGGTGATTCGTAGACATTACTAACAAAAGCAATAATCAGAAATTGCAAAAAAATACATACTGTTGCATATCCTAACCCTACTGATAAGCAATTTAAAAGGTTCTAATTTACTATAGTTGTTTTCTGTCGTTCGTGTAGACGATTTTCATCACTTTTCGAGGATAAAATATTAAAGCAGATAACATATAGACAAATTTTTGTGGGTACAAGACTAGTGATGATATTTTTTTACCTCATCCGGATCACTGCACAAACCAATTTTTATTGAATAATAAAAATTCAAAAAAAAATGTTATTTCTGTGATATAAAATCAGTAACCTATATATTTTTGATTTTTTTTTAAATAGTTGAATAATAATCAAAATTGAAAATATCCAGAACGTTGTCTTAAAATACATACGATTTGGTCAAAATATTTATTACAATGGCGTATTTAAGAGTTGGACATTTAAACATTTGTATTTTTATAAATTTAAAATTGTATATGTAATAAAAAATAAATTGATGAGTCAGTATCAAAAATAACATTAAAAATTAATACTTGGTTTACCGATCAAAAAGTCGATTAAAATGACAAGATTAAAAAAACCGTAATATAATATGTTATATTCTAATTTCTAATACAATAATATTCAACAATAATATCAAACAATTACTTATTCTAAAAGCACATTAACTGATTTTTAACTATAATCTAAATGATCATTTGTACAAATCTAGTAAAAGACCTTGGCATCCTATTTGACACTAAACTAACATTCTCTTTTCATATTATTTCTATCAAAATAAAGCACTTGGTCTTATTATGCATAATTATTAACTGTTCTTCTTTTAACAACCCTTTCATCTTTAAATGTCTTTTCACTTCTATTATCAGGTCTCATTTAAAATACGTTGCAGTTATATGAAAATCCAATGCTATTGGTATTCCCAATCACATCGAAACGGTTTAAAACAAAATTTTTGATTTATTGGTTTTAATTTCAATATTTCGAGGTCGCCTCATTTTGATTGCGATTACATAAATACATTTTTAAAATCAAGTCTTTAAAAGATCGCAGAAAAGATTCTTAAATTGTTTTTTTTTTTTAAACGTATTAAATAATAAAATTAATGATTCTTACTTATTAAGTCTTGTAAACTTTAAAAATAATGTTCACAATATTAGAGATTTCTGTTTAATTTTTCTTTTTCTTTTTTTTACTAATTATTATTTTATTGATATTTTTTTGTTACGAATAGTTTTTTTTATTGTAGGTTCCTACCTATAATTAATTTTCTAATATTTTTATTTTGTTAAACTGTTGTCACTTAGTTATAAGTTTTGTTAATCGAATACTGAATTTTATCTTGAAATTGAATCAGGGTCTGTAATAAATAAATAATATAACTGTTGACCAACAAAACGAAAAAAAAATACATAACATTAATATTTATATCGTGTTTATTATACTGCATAATTTTCTTATGTACAACTTCTAACTGAGGATATTGTTTTTTCTACAGCTCACAGATAGGCACTACAACCGGGATCGGTTCTTATATTAACAAGCAGAATCTGCAGTGGGCCATGAACGAGGTATGGGCTCTACGAGAAAAAGAACCATCGACAAGTTACACACCAACGACGACAAATCAGACGGCGACTACGTCGCAGTCGTCTACTTCATGCCCGTTCGAATTACCGAAGCGTCGGAACACTCTGCGTGCGCTCATAGATGAGCACCGCCGAAGTGAGAACCAATTCCACCACGGGTCCGGTGGGGATGCTACATTGTGGACGGCCCCCGTGCCGGTTCGCGGGCAACTACTAAAAGCGCCATCGATGTTACACCAACAACAGCAGCAGCCCGCCTTGAAAAAGTCCGCGTCCGTCTGGTACGCCGCACCACCCGCGCCAGACAGACCGCTAGTCACCCGGAGGAGCATGCCAAATCTGCAATCTGGAATCACATTCGACCGTCGACAGAGCTCACGGCAATTCTCTGGACCCATAATCGAAGAAAACTGATGTGTTATACGGTTTTTTCCAATTTTAAGAGGCTTATCACCTAAATGCACCCTAATGCAATAAATCATAGGAATCGATTTCTATTTATTTTTGTATTCTTATTAAGAATTCAATTTGCAAGTTAATCCGTAATAATCATTTTATCCGAAATATTTTCATCTTAGTTACATCATTGTTTATTTAACATATAATATTATTTTAGAGAAATATTTTAGATCATAAAAACATTGTCTTTTTCAAAATTAAATCAATGTTTGAGAAGATTCAGATTTTACAACTATTTATACAGATTATTCATTTATAGGGTTAGACTCGAACGCCTAATACACTCGGTAGTTTGATATTGTTAGGTTTCATATTATGTTATCTTTACATATAAAATTATTGTTTTTAAGCTATTATTTTACTAATATATTATGTCCATACATAATATATATACCAATATATAACCCATACATTATTAGTATTAGTTTTATGTATAATTAGTCATTAAAAATATTATTTCTCAACAACATTATTATTTGTGACCCTAAAAATAATAATCGTTGTAATTTTTTATTTATAATTTTTACGTTTTTCGAATTTTTAAAAGATATGTTATTGTAATATTATAATTTATAGTTATAGTAAACTGGAAATAGTTAGAAAAAACACTATGACCATTCAGTTCTAATAGCCAGAAAAATAAAAATTTTGCATTAGAGAGTTACATAATTTTTAAATCCTCAAAGCTATATCTTAAACCTTAAACTATCTTTTCCAAGCTTATTATCGTGGATTATTATTTTTAATGCATATGCTTTAATAATTCAAAACTTTCTAAATTCAATTTCTGATATAAGTACATGCAATTATAAAAAAAAAGAAATCTTATAATTAACAATTTACAGTAATAAATGATGATTTTTATAAGAAAAAAGTTTTTTGTTAAAGGACATCCTTTGAATTTATAGACGATATAAAAATATTAAGTATTTGAAAATATGGTTTTTACGTATACTTTTTATACATAATATGATATGGTTCAACAAGTATGCTCAGCCTCCGACTCAAAAATGTAGTTATCCAAATTCTGAATCTTACATTTTTAAATACCTATACTTAACGACTATATTTTTAATTACATTTGCAATGTCAACTATGGCTATAATGAAAATTTTTAAAACGCATTTTTTTAACTATACAGTCATCGTTTCACCAAGAATATAAAATACGTTAAAAACTTAAATGTCATTAAAAATGTATTTAAATGATATAAGTGCAATCATATTATTATTTATCAATTTATTATCATACAATTAATTCTTACTGATACAACTTATCGAATAGAAATGATATATTGACAAAATATGTAAATTATTTGTAAATTATAGTTTTAAATACGTTGCTCATGCTTTTTAGTTTTTACACGACCATTTTAGATTATCTGTATACTATCCTAATTGATCTCATATACCTCAAGCATAAAATTTTTAAAACAATAATATCATTATACTATGTATTAATGTTTCAATGAAGCAGTTTAGGCATCTATTGTATTAGTTTTGATACTTTTTCGTTTATATAAAAAAAAAAAATTAAACGTTAAAACAACTTAATTTATTTATTTTCGCGTCTCGAAATCATAATATACATTTGATACGTTTGTACTTTACGGCCACAATGACGGAAACTCAAACTTCTGCGATTTACCCAGGTCTAAAGGTTTCGCTGTTATCGTGATAAAAAATATGTAGGTAAGTATTTATTTCAGTAATTCCGTGTGATGAAAAATCATCGTCCGTTCCGATTATTATGATAACAATATAATATATATATAATGAACATTGCAAATAATGCATATTTTCAGTACACCTATTTATAATTATATATGTGTGATATAAATTAGTGTTTTATAATTAAAGGTTATTATAATTGTTATTACCTGTACGGCTGTACATTGTACAGTAATGCATATTAATACTGGTATTTCAATTATATTCGTATTATATTTATATTATCATAATTTAAGCGTGTGTTCAAAAAAATGCATACCAAATTTGTATCTATATGTGGGTGCGGATGTAAAATAGATATCATTTTTTTTTTTTTTTTTTTTTTTTTTATTATTATTATTCAAAAATGACAAATCGCACACGCGCGTGTTATACAATTATTCTATAACAGTTATACCTCAACTAAAAACTTATAATATCAATCGTGAGTTTTTGTTTTATGCGAACAGATAAAATTTTAACAGTATATAATAATACTAATAATAATTCACGATAGATAAAATAGCAACAAGGACATACATTTATAAATTTCATACAGCTAAATACGAAATTAGCTCGGGAGCCAGAAACTGTAAAATTAACAACATATTTGTTATTTTTGCAACCCAATTGAGCGAATAGCGGCGTGTCAAAGAGATGCATTATTTTATAAGCTTAACTACAAAAAGAAAAAAAAAATATGAGCTAGTTTAAAAAAAAATTTTTTTACCGTAACGTTGCCAAATTGTACGTCTTTTTTACTGAATTAAAATTTTTTTACGCTCAGGCGAATTTTGTATTATCAATCCGAAGCGTTTTTTATATAAGTCCGCGCTTTACCGTGACCGTATTGCATGAAACTTACTCAAGCTAAATAAAAATGTACCTCTTACTGAGAATTAAGTTTACAAAAGTATAAAGAGAAATTCTTTAGTTGCCTATATTTATCATACATAATAGTCATAATTTCTAAACAAATAACTACATATATTATATTATTATACATTCGTATTGAATCAATGTTGCAGCAGTATAATATATAGTATTTATTGACGTTTACAAAAGTTTACAAGACCACAGTGAATATTAATGACTATAAATTATCATTTCTTCCAAATTTTTCATGTGTACCTAAAAAATAATCGGAAAAATCAAATACGTTTTATTAAAATATTATTTATATATATATATTGTTGAAACGGTATTAGTGCCTATATTATATGTTAAAATATGATTGATCGATTATCACATTTGTTTTTTTCTCAGTAATAATTGTATAGGAAAAAAAGCACCAACATATTATGATAAAATGTATTATATGTATACATTTAATAATAATAATAATTTATCATATCATAGATATATATGCTCGATCCGCGTTCACCCGCAAAATTCCCTTTCTTCTCTGTTCTATTATTCTTATTTATATTTAAACGTCCAAGTCCAAATTTCAAAACAATAACGTTATAATATAGCATTGTATGTTATAAGTAATAGCATTAAAAATTGATTAATTTAAATAAATTAATATATTTAAAACCTATTAAATACTAATCAGTTTTTATTAAATATTGCTATATATAAGGAAAAATAAAATTTGATGATTTGTTTTGTTTGAAATGCACTCAAAACGCGTATTGTACCTAATATTACTAAACACATAATAATATATAAATAAAAATATAACATATATACGCTTTATTATTATAATTTAATATTATTGTTTTTTTTTCGTTGTACATAAATTCTTAGAACAAATCCAACTGACGTACTCTCGTTCAAATTGCAAACGTTTGGTACAAGGACCCTGCGGAGTCGGTTTTATGTTTATACTTGGTCAAATAATATCGTCTTACGTCACCGCCATGTGTCACTGCAGACGTATAACTCCTGTAATTCTATAGTTGGATACCGTGAGACTATGTAACGAGAATCGTGAGTATAATATTGTTCATGGTAATCTTCAGTGCGAGTGCAAGGCGAGTACATTTGGCTTCAAAGGTTTTATGCGTAGAAAAAATTTAGCAAAAGTTATATTATGAATATTTACTTATCAGTTATTGGTATAATCATAATAATTTAGTAAAGTCGGTCTATTTACGTAGGCGCTTACGATTATTTGAAAAAAAATTCAACGAGAACGAAATATAGATTATAATTACGCATACGACATATCTATTTATATATAATACCTAATACAATATTATAGCGTAAGACAAAATCGTCATTAGTAATATTTTTGATATTTACGTGTTACATCGTATATATCAAAAATATATTATATTGTATATATGTTATTTTTATACATAATGTATAAAAATAACATCTAAGATAACTAAAAAAATACTGATCCAATATATTAATTTGAGAAAATCGGAAAGAACTCATACAACGATGTCGTAAATATTACCCAGCAAAATATTTGGATGTTGACTTAAGCGGTAAACTGATGAATGTCTTAGTAAATTTAAGTAATAAGTATATGTGTGTGTATTGATAACCATCACACCTTCATAAAAAATTCATGGTCAAATACTATTTACGCGAAATCTAAAAATTTTAAATATTATTACGCTAAATAACCAAAAAACGTTTTAAATGTTCAACATGTAGTCCACATAGTGTAAGTACTAGGTAGTTATTACGACGTACAATATTGATATAGGTAGGTATGCTGGTTTGCATACAAATATACAATCGCATGAAGTATATTCATTAATTATAACATAATTTACTAGTAGAATTATTTTCGCAATCAAATTATATAATTCACATTACAGATAATTGGTATATTATAATATATTGTTCCAAGCTCATATATAAATAAAATAAAATAAATACCTAACAATGCATTTTTATATCACATACATGTTATAAAAAGATTAGAAATATAACAAAAGATTTAAAAAATCCCCCTATTGGTGTACCAACTTGATAATTTAATTTATTTTAAACTAGAATACAATTTACCTTGAACAGTAAGTTATTTATCTTATTGTACAATATATATTATTAATTAAACACCCAGTCGTAAACTTGAATTATTTATATTTTCTTTTCATAGATTTAACCATCTAATCATTTTTATAAACAATAATTGTATGATTTTGTTTTTAAATTCTATAGAATCAATTATGAGTAAAATCTACACTAATTTATAAACTGTTTTTTTTTTTTAATTGTGATGATTATAATTATCATTATAATATTACAACTTAAGTCGTAGTTTTATACATACGTATTTCATACTAAGAAATCTGATTTTTTACGAATGTCTTAATATCAATTTTGATTCTTGTAATAACTTTTTGGATTAACGTTTT